TGCTGTAGATTTGTTTAATAATAGCAGGGCGCGAACAAAGAAATAACAAAATGGAATGAAACAAATTGCAAAAAATTATGACACGCTTCGCATTGTGTGCAATTTTTCTATTGAACTTGCTCGAGAGCTGCAGCGARGGGAGGTCTTGAAATTTAATTTAATTTTAATGAAACGGCAGCACGCACAACGTACAGTGGCTGGCGCTATTTTATTCCTTTTCTTTTTTTGGTATTTGTATTTGAATTGCTTTTTTGTGTTTATCCAATTTATTTGCAGGCCCTTAATGCCCGAGTAGATTGATCATACGCCCCGTGAGCACACACACACACACAATCACGCAAAATGACCGACCTGGAGTCAATGAAAGCCGACAAGCACAATGGCCATCACTCGTATCACAACAAGTAAGTGTCTACCGCCTCAACTTACCTCAACTTTGGGCAAAGCCTGGCCTAACTAGATGTAATAACAAGCACTCATACGCAAATTGTTTCCGCATTATGGCAAAGCTATGCTCGAGCAAGTGTTCTTGCTGGTCGAAAGCAAAACAAAGTGCGGCCAAGTAGGATATGTAAATAACGTGTGTACCCACGCCCATGTGCACAAAATGCTGAAATACTGTCAAATGACCCAAGCCAAACCAGTTGCTAATGCCGCGCATAGCTGAGAAACTGGTTCCAGCCCATTGGCAACTGCAGACGTTGAGAAATGTTGTATACGAAAAAAAGAAGAAACAAAGGAAAAGAAATGAAAAAAAAAAAACCACTGCAAAAACCAACAGCAGTTTGTCGCTGGCCAGCGAAAGTGACTGTGGCTTTGGTTGGACTGACAGCCAATACAACAATTTGCATTTCAATCGAACTAAGCAACTCCTCTGTTCTATTCATGCCTGCAGCCATGACCTGGTGGAGAGCGAGCCACTCACCTGGAGATTCTGGCGCAAGCAGCGCTACATTGTGGTGCTGATGGCCTTCTTTGGCTTCTTCAATGTCTACTCGCTGCGCGTGAATCTGTCCGTGGCCATTGTGGCCATGACGGAGAATCGCACTGTCCACGATGCTGATGGCAATATATCGTACGAGCAGGACTTTCCCTGGGACTCCAAGCAGAGGGGCCTGATATTGAGCTCCTTCTTCTATGGCTACATCTTCACACAGTTCCTGGGCGGCTACATAGGCACCAAAGTTGGCGGCAATCTTGTGAGTTTACATGCTGAAAATGTTAAAGAACTGTTCAAGTTATTTATATCTCATATGTATGAAATGAATGCAAATCCTTGACTAACAATTCCTTTTGGTAAAATCTCACTTTAAAGGTCTTCGGCTTGGGCATTGGCACAACGGCCATCCTCACTCTGCTCACCCCGCTAGCGGCCCGACACAGTCTCGAAATGTTTTTGGCCGTGCGCATTATCGAGGGCGTGTTCGAGGGCGTCACATTTCCGGGCATACACGCCGTATGGGCCAGGTGGTCGCCGCCGTTGGAGCGCTCTCGCATGGCGTCAATTGCATTTGCGGGCAATTACGCCGGAACGGTAATTGCCATGCCATCGTCTGGTATGCTGGCCTCCCGTTACGGCTGGCCTAGTGTTTTCTATGTGTTCGGAACTATTGGTGTCATCTGGTTGATTCTGTGGCTCCTGATTGTGCGCGCGGGACCCGAGAAGGATCGCTTCTGCTCGAAGGAGGAGTGCGAGTACATACAGAAAACGATTGGATACACGGGCCCCCAGACTATCAAGCACCCATGGAAGGCAATCTTCACATCCATGGCTTTCTATGCAATCATTGCCTCGCACTTCTCCGAGAACTGGGGCTTCTACACGTTGCTCACCCAGCTGCCCAGCTTCCTTAAGGGTAAACCGCTTGATAAGAGTTGGCCTTAATATGGTATTTAATGAGATCTTCTCTGCAGATACGCTTAACTTTGATCTGGGCAAAACGGGCTTCCTTTCGGCTGTACCCTACCTGGCCATGGGCATATTGCTGGCCGTCTCTGGCTATCTGGCCGATTGGATGCAGGTGAAGGGCATCTGGACAACGACGCAAGTGCGCCGTAACTTCAACTGCGGCGCTTTCCTGGCTCAGACGGTCTTCATGATGCTCACAGCTTACATTATGGATCCCACTTGGTCGGTGATATTCATTACAATTGCTGTCGGCCTGGGCGCCTTTGCCTGGTCTGGATTCGCGTAAGTTGCAACGTCAGTGTAGCCCTCAGCGGTGCGTCGACTTAATTCTTGCAACACTTGCAGTGTCAATCACTTGGATATCGCGCCGCAGCACGCCAGTGTGCTGATGGGCATCGGCAACACATTCGCCACGATTCCCGGCATCGTCAGTCCGCTGCTGACCGGGTACATTGTGGGCGATAGCGGAGACCGTTATGAATGGCGCCTGGTGTTCTTTATCTCGGCTGGCATTTATCTTGTTGGCTGCGTCATCTACTGGTTCTACGCGTCCGGCGAGCTGCAGGAGTGGGCCAAGTCACCGGAGCAGAAGGCTGCCGAGGCCGAAGAGAAGCAACTGCAGCTGACACAAACAACTGGTTTCATTAACACAGCGGCCGACCTAAAGGAGTAGCACACCCACCCGAGCTCAGCACAGCCCAGCCCAGCCCAGCCAGCACAATCGATGTGTTCAACTCGTAGCGCAGCTGCAGCCAATAGCAAAGACACATTTTAGCTTAGTTTATACTCGTATTCATTCACAGTACCATATTGTATGCCTTAGAATTTCTTCTTTGTTATGTGATGCCAGCCAGCAATGGGATGTTGTTCATGTTGGCCCATTGACTATTTTTAGATCTGTTTGTGCACTCGTAGCGAGTGCATTTGCGAATAAACAAAGTACATATATATTACTCAAAGCAGGCGCGTAATTTGAATGACGAAGCATGACAGCATGTTAGTAATAGAAATAGTATTCCAATTGTTATCTTGTTAGTTTTTATTTGAACAATAAATGACGTATATATGCTACCCAAGCTTAACCATTTAAATGTTTGTATAACAATAAAATTTTTACTCGTGCCGCAAAGTATGCAATGCTTTTTGTCACATAAATATTTTGACGTTAAGCTTTTTAAGTGCATGCCGCAAAGTATGCTACATTCTAAATCAATGCTGAAATACTTCAGCCGAAATTTGCTTTGCTGGATTTGGAATTTCTCAAACTGTGAATCTCTTAAAGCCTTTACCACTTTAAAATCGATTTGGTTTGCTGTTCCGTCTTTTGGGCAGCTTGAAAAAGTGCAAGGAAATCGAAAGGATGCCATTAAATTGATTGAAGTTTTATTTGTTTGGCGAATTGAAGCGGATTTGCTAGATATCTCATTCGGACTCTTTAACGCCAGCCAGCCCTGCAGGATAAAGTTTACGGACTATGCACATGCACACATCAATATTTAATCACGATTTATCCCTGCAGTCGTATTTGGCGCACTCGGCCGTTGTTCGCTGCGTACGTATATGCAGCGCGTAACGATAAACTGATAAGAGCGCCGTGTGCAGCACGGCCCAAAGCGTTGGCCGAGCCAATCGTGTGGCGCAAAATTTGTTTGTGTAATGCCAACAACTGATAGGCGCGAAACGTTACGCATTTTGCGCACGAACTGCTGATAACACCGGCCCCTGCCCCGCACTGGCAGTGTGTTGTTCGATTTTGCACCCGTCATTGAGCTTAAAATTACAATATATAAACGACGGGAGTTTAGTGAAGCCAACAACAGTAAACTACAGCAAGTGAAAAGCTTTGCACCAACTAAACATTTTTCACAATCAACAGAAATTTTCTAAAATCACCAATACAATGGGTTGCAAGAATTGTGTATCTGGTAAGTAATATACAAAGATATTAGACCAAAAACTAAATCATAACTAACCAACTAAATTTGGCCACTTTAGCTTGCCAGTGCTCGACCGTCAAGTGCGGAGGCAGCTGCGCCTGCATTAAGGATTGCAGTTGCGTGTGCAAGTCTGGACCCAAGGAGCAGTGCTGCAGCAGCAAATAATCAAGATTATACTGAATTCTGCATAAAGTTTTCAAATGCCATTTGGCATAAACATTTGCATGTGATTCAATAAAAATGATAAGAACATGAATTTTGGATTTTGTTTTTCTAATACGGCCGGCTTTAATATTTAATTGGGTCATGAAAATGCAGCTTAGCAAAAACTGCATTTGAATTATAATTTGTTTTTCATTTTTCAGCGCAAGTCAATGTTTCTCATTATTTGTCGGCTTCAGATTCAAACCTTGCAGTTGACAAACAACAACTAAAAAAAAAAAAAACACAAATAAATAATATAAAATAACCTGCAACATTTTTTCTCCATTTAGATTGAGAGAAAATTGCAAAGCTCGGCATAAACGAGGCTTTGCTCTGTAGCTATATAATAAAGTGACACATTTTATGAGAAGCTTGACATTTTTGGGGTAATTCATTGAGGACAATAAAGCATTTCTAGAAAATCCATTTAACTGCTGTCGCATATAAATATGCAAATAAATTTATAAATGTATATATTGTATGATTACTCATCAAATTTGATGTTTTATTTTCTCTTAACTGCTTTTAATAAGCATTTGCACATTTTGTCAGAGTCAAATGAGAAATGACGAGGGAGCACTTGTAGGGACTGTGGCAGCTGAAGGACATGTCAGACATTCGCATCCGCTTCAACTCGCTCTATGCGCTGTCAAAATATTTATGAACTGACCAGCGGCAACAGCAACAATGGTATGCAGCAACAACATCAACAACCCAGAAACAACAACAATAACCATCATTAGCATAATCAAAATGTGCGTGCTTTGTGTTTGGCACTTGGGCTGGTTGCGTGTCGAGAGCATTTTGCTCGACATTTTGTTTCTGAGCTACTCCTCAGGGGAGGGGGGAGAGGATCTGATATTGGATCTGGAGTTGTTTGGCAAATCAGGTGTAAATGATTTGGCATTCAGGTGCTTGAGCTGAGCACAGGCTAATCGAATTATTGCGTGCCTTGAGTTCTCATTCAAAACCCAGAGTTACGATATTAAATTTAGTACAAGCTGAGCAGCAAATGATTGTTAATAAACTGAAAATATGGCTGTTTTAACGACGCTTTCTCTAAATACTATTGAGGAAGGAGATATCAGCAATGAGAAATCAGAGCCCCCGCATACAAGTAAGTCCCAAGTAAGTCCCAATCCATTGACACGCCTCGGCTGATGGGCTTTCTCCCTAGAAGATCGTGCTAATGGAGTCTCGATGCGTTCCCTTATCAAGGGTGCCATAGTCATATTTACATTTAATGCGTTTCTACTGTGCCTGGGCTATCTCATTTATCAATATATAAGCGCCTTGGATGACAAAAAGAGGACGAAGGTAGGCAATTGGATGTGCAGTCTGGTTGGTGTTGTCCTTATGATCGTAATGTATCGAATGGGGGTAAAATATGATGATATGATATATTTAAAAATTTTGTGATTTACAATGAACTTTTATCGACAGGACATGTCTAAGGGTAATCCACATTTTTACTACATTTAGTTCATACCTTTGCGATATCATTTTCAAGTACAAAATTGATTCATTTAAATTCTTTTTCAAGTAAAGCTCGCAGGCTGTACAAATTAATTAAGTAGAACAAATGAGAGAAATCATCTAAGTTTATCAAAATTAGTATAAGTTGTAAGCTAGTACGATAAATTATTTAATAAAA